AACTATGGGGAGGAAGTGGGAGGGGAACTGTTGCATTGTAAATTTTGGTCAATGACATGAGACAAAGTATATGTGAACTGCTGTATGAAAAGTGAATTAACTCTGTAAATCTTCACCCAAATCAAAATAAAATTAAAAAAAAAAACTAGTGGTTACAGTGTAAACATTTTTCATTCTTTTGGTATTGTTTTCACTTTTCCATCAAATTAGAGGTGCTTGTGTCTTTGGGACTGGCTGTATATAGTGTAAGGTATATGACCTGCCAGTGTAGGTCAGCAGTCCTATTTATGATAATAAGTTTTAGGATTGTTAAAACAGAATTTTAAATACCTAGCTTTTAACCATTCCTGTTTATATTTTCTCAGCTAAATAGACAGCTATTACTTCATTACTTTGTTTTCCCATACTGTTATTTTGTTGCACTTCATGAATATAAATAAAAGCAGATTATTTGTTAAAATTACTTAAAAAGTAATTTTTAAGTATTTTCAATCCTCGTTTATATCTGTTCATTGAACAAGTGTTCATTGAGTTTACTGGTGGTGCAGTGTTTAAGCACTTGGCTACTTACTAACCAAGCAGTTCAAACCCCCCAGCCACTCCATGGAGGAATGTTTGGTAGTCTGCTTCCTGTTTAAAGATTTACAGCCTTGAAAACTCTATGGGGGCAGTTCTACTCTGTCCTGTAGGGTCACTATGAGTTGGAATCTACTCCATGGCAATGAGTTTTTTGGTTTTACTGTGTGCCAGTTGCTATTCTAGTTACTGGGGATACTTAGGTGAACAAAACAGACAAAGCTCCCTACCCTCCTGGAGCTGTTATACTAAGGGAGAAAACAGCACTAGGCAGTAAGAAAATAAATGATATGTCTTATAAATTTAGATGCTTTGAAGAAAAATAAAAACCAATAAATACATAAAGGCACTCTGGTAGTGTTGTAGGTAAGGCATTTGGCTCCTCACTAGTTCAGTGGTTCAAACCCACCAGCCACTCTGCAGAAGGGAGATGGCACAATCTACTTCCATAAAGATTTACCGCCTTGCAATCCCAATGGAAGTTGCTGTTAGTTGGAATCGACTCAGTGGCAGTGAGGTTTTTTTTAGTTTTGGTGAAAAATAAAGCAGGATAAATAGATACAGAGGACAGATACTATTTTAGAGAAGGTCTTTAGGAGATGATTTTTGAGCAGAGACTTGAATGAAGGGAGGAAGAAGCCATGGAGAAATCTGGGGAAAGAACTTTCTAAAGGGAACAACAAATACAAAGGGTGGTGGTTGTGGTGGTGGTGGTTTTTTTTGTTAGGCCAGAGGCTAGAGCAGAGTGAACAGGGTGAAAAGTGATAAGGGATGAGATCCAAAGATGGACAGGTGCTGGATCAGTGTCGGTTCTTGTAGGCTGTAGTAGGAATTTAGACTTCATTATACCTTTGAAGGAAATTTTTATAGTGTTTTAAGTAGGGATATCATCTGATTTTAAATTTGAAAAGCTCACTGGCTTAGAGGAATGACCTGATATAGCATGATGTAGCATATGATATCCTAGGTATATATCTAAAAGACTTGAAAGCAAGAATGCAAACAGATACATGTACACCAGTGTTTATTACAGCACTATTTGGAGTTACCAAAAGGTGGAAACAGATTATATGTCCATCAGCAAATGAATAGGTAAACAAAATGTGGTTCATACATACAGTGGATTATTACTCAGCCACAAAGAAAAACAAAAGTCTGGGTATATGTATAACATAGATGAACATGGTAAACATGCTAAGTGAAATAAGTTAATCACAAAAGGACAGAGATTATATAATCCCACTTACATGAAATATCTGGAATATGTAAGTATATAGAGACGAAAGTTTATTAGTGGCTACCTGTGGTAAGTACTTAGGAGACACTAGGCTTCTGTTAAGAGTGATGGAAAACTTTGGGAACAGATAAAGGTGATGGTTGAGCAACATTATGAGCATAATTAATGTCACTGAACTATACATGTGAAGATTATTGAAATGACACTTTTTTTTCATATATATTTATGACAACAAAAAGTAAAAATAATAATAATTGGCAGATTCAGAAATCAGTTCATCTCACTTAGTAGTCCCTAAATTAATCTTCTGACTCACTTTCTGATACTGCTTGTTTTAGAATCAGGTAACAACAGCTTCCACTCTAAATGCAGATCTTTTTTTTATTCAGCAGGTGAAATTACTGAACACTGAGAATGTTAAGATTTTCCTGCCATTCAGTTTAATTAAGGGGACCAGGGTGGTGGGGGGTGGTAGGTGAGACACAGAAATGAATAGGTCGTCATGATAAAGTTCATCAAATGCTAGAATACAGGTCTCAGCAGAATTGTATGAGAACACAGTTGTTGAAGAAAAGCAAAGCTTGATAGAAGAAGTGGTAGTTGAGCGAAGCCTTGAAGAATGGTTAAGAATTTCCCAAAGAATTGAAACTGTGACAGGGCATTGCAGTGTAGTGTGCTGCATACAATAGAGCTGACTGTGCTTTCTTTTCTTCCAGATGCAAATAACTTGTTTCTTACTTGTTTTCTCTAATTATAAAAATAATGTGTGTTGATATAAAATCAGACAATAATAAGTAATACCCAGTCATAATCTCATCATTCAATAGAAACATTTATAAGTCTTTTGGGTCTCTTCTTTTCAGTTGGTTTTTTAGGAAGAATTCATGAGTTTCTATATATCCCCTTCACCACCACCACCCCCTTCTTTCTTTTTTTTTTTTAGTAATATTAGTAATTCCTAATAGTAACTTTTAGGAATTTTGGTCCTTCATTTGTACAATAATATAAAAAGAAAGATCGATAAGAACAGCTATAGTTTATAAAAATGAGGCACAGGAATTTAGTGATTTATCAAAGATAGAAATTCAGTGATTTATCACAGAGCAAGTGAGCAGATTTGGAATTAGTAGCTATATCATCTAATACCCACATTGGGTTTCTGATTCTTCTTTTATATCTTGGTTTCTGACAAAATTGAGATTTATATACATGTTTCCTTGTGGCTCAGCTTTTACACTGAGCATAATGACTCTGTTGGAGCCATTTTCATTTATACCATCATTACATATGAAATAAGTAGTGGGAAGTGCAGATGATCAGACTTTTTAATTTTCTGATCATCTGGGGATGTCTCAAGCACAAACCGTCACTACCTAAGCATGCTTTCTAGAAGACGTAAAACCTCCCTGATAAAAGGGTCCTATACTACCAAAGTGGCTTTGTATAACTGGCAACTCATGTGGGGCATAGGTCATATTGTTGTAGTGAAAGGAAACAGGCCGTAAAGTTAGAAGTAGAAAATTAAGACCAGGAAATGACTGTGTTTGGAAGATTTTGTCCTTTAGTTACATAAATGCAGTTTTGCGTTTGAGGAAAGAAACTTGAAGCTAATTTTGTATCATATAGGTTACTACTTTATTTGATCAATTTAGAAAGCATAAATATTATTCCAAAAAATGCTTCTTTTACATATGAATAATTGGTATGTTCTTAGATGTCTCTGGGACATGAAAAGTAAAAGAATTAACTTTTTTATTAAATTACTCTTTCTTCTTTCAAAGCTCAGCCCAGTAGGTAGGTCAGAGCTTATTTAGAAATAGCCGGGAGTGGGGTGGAGGAGTACTAATACTTACTAGATGCTACCTAATTGGCAGGTACTTTGCTATGAAAAAGACTTCTGGTGGTGCAGTGCCTAAGACATTTGACTGCTAACCAGAAGGTTAG